TTTTTTTTTTTTTTTTTTTTTTTTTTTATTTTTTTTTTTTTTTTTTTTTTTTTTTTTTTTTTTTATGTAATTTGTTTTTATATATAATTTTTTAGTTTTATTTTTAAGTTTTTTTTTATATTTTCCCTCCTTTTTTTTATTTAATTTTATAATTTTTACTATTATATGATAACACCACATATATTTTTTATATATTATGAATAAATGTTTTTATATTAATTTTTTCGTTGTTTAAAGTTCCATTATCAAAAAATTTCGTACTTCTCTTTTTATGGCTAAATTTATTCTTTGTAAAGAAGTTTATTTATATTTGTCTTATTAGTAACATAAAAATATATAAATTAATACAAATACTAAAACTCAAAATTAGAACAACAAATGTATAAAAATTTTTATAAGTTTTTATTTCTTTTATTTTTTTAAATATTAATATATTAAGCGTTAGTTTGTGCAGTTATTAATCGTGGTAAAAAATTAAATCAATTCTTTTAATTTTAGAATAATAAAAATAGATTAAGGTTCATTTAAGAAAATAAAAATGTGCATTTTTTTTACAATTAAGTTTTTTTCACTATATTATATATATATAACTTGATTTACATTATTAATTGGGTTAATTTAATTATCTCATTTAATATATATATATATATATTATAAGAGAAATATAAATATTTACAGTTAATTTTATTTTAAATTAATCATAATCTTTTTTTTTTTTGTTAACTTGTATTCTCTTGAGCTCAAAAAGAATAAGAAGAAATATGTATTTTTTTTTTTTAGTTTAACATATAACTGAATAATGTAAAAAGAGAAAAATGCTTAAAAATATAATAAATCAATTTATAAAAATATTTGGACAGGAATATTTAGGAGATTGGAATGCTATACAAAATTTAACGATTAATTCAGTTACATCACCAGAAGTATGTTTTTTTTATTTAAAAAATTAGTTATAAAAAAAATAATAATTTTACATATATATTATTTTTAGTAATAAAAATTCTTTGTTTTACTTAAACACCATAGTAATAAATTTAAAACTCTTACAAATAATATTCTTTTTTTTTTTTTTTTTAATTTTACTTTTTTCTTTAGATTATATTAAAAAATGTTCCCTTTCCAGAACAAATATTCGAATTAGCAGAGTTGCCATTTGAAATAATATATTCAAATATAAAAAATTTACGAATAAAATTTTTATGGTCATCTATTTTTTCAAATAATGTTAGTCCAATAAATATTTATGCAAATGATATTTTCCTTGTTATAAAATTTTCTTATCCAAGTTTGTGGAAGACAGACAAAATTACTGCCCATCAGTATAAATTAAAAAAGAGTAAGTTAAAAAAATGGGATAATATTAATGTATCAAAAGAAAAAAAGGATGATAATTTTTTAAAAGTTTTACCTATTAAATTAGTTAATTCTTTACGAATATTAGCTGAAAACATAAATATAATATTTTTCGATAATTATATTCATAAAAACCCATTTACTTTAGAATTTTTCATTAAAAATTTTAAAATTGACGAATTAAATAAATACAAAGTAAAATTGACTGATGAAGAAAAAAAAAATATTAAAAAGAATTTGTTAATTAATATATGGATAAGATTAATAGGAGTACATATGATTTTTAAAGAGTTTAAACAAAAAATTAAATATAATAAACAAATTAAAAAAAAAGAAAAAGAGATAGATCACAAACAAAAAATTAACGAGAAAATAAATAAGCTAAACAGTAATGAAAATATAAATGGTATAGAAAAAATATGTTTCTTTATTCAGATTTAATTATATATCTACTTTTATGTAAATTAGTAGTTTAATATCTTTAAAATTATTATTTTATATATATTTTTATACAATATATATTAGTATCATATATATATATATATATATATATATATAATTCATAAACTCATATTCATATATATCAATTATTCAATAGAAATAAATAATGTATTATTTTTTTTTAATTTTTTTTTTTTTTTTTAGATGAATTTTTTTTAACAGCAATTGAAAGACTTTTTAGTGAAAGTACCAAATCTACTAGCCAGACAAATAAACATTGTACAAAAAAAAAAAAAAAAAAATTTCATAATAGTAGAATACCTAAATATTGTTCTTTCAGTGATTATGATATTAATGAAAGAATAAAGATTAGATATTCAAAAATAAAAAAGGAAAGAAAAATATATAGTTCTAGAATGAATATAAATATACCAAATAACAAGTTAGAGCATAATTTTAAAAAAAGAAGTTATAACTTTAAAACACCTAAGCATAATTTAGGTTTTAGAATAACACCAAAAGATGGACTAGAAATGCATATAATTTTTAAAAAATATGATTTAAAAGCACTAAATGATTTAAAAAGTAATTTAAAATGCTTTAAGAATGTAGAACTATCATTTATTAATCATTATGAAAATAAAAATGAAAATATACCTAATAAGTTAAAAAAATATGAGAAACCTATAAAAAATCCATGCTATTGCTATAATTTCCAAAACAATTCTTTTATGGAAACCATTAGTAACGTATCCATATCAAGTAATACAAATGAATCTATTAAACATAAAGATATTAACAAAAATGTGTTAATAAATATTGATCAAAGAATAGAAAATAGTTTTAAAGACGATTATCCTCCTTTGTTTAACAATATTTCAAATTATGAGTGTTTGGATATAAATTTTACATCTTCAACTTTTGATGCTTTTTATAATTTTATAAAATATATAGAATTTTGGTTTTTATATAAAAGTGGGTGCACAAAAATATTTAATATAATCCCTTCAATAGAAGATTGCATAAAATATTCTCAATATAGAAAAATGCAAATTGATAAAAATTCAAAAAATGAAGAAATGTATGAAAAGTTTATTGAAAATTTTGAAGCAGCATGCCCAACTCATTTATTAATTAAATTAAGGTTATTATCAGAAGAATGTATATACAGCAAGGAATATTTTAATAATATAAATGTCAAAAAAGGAGAATGGACAAAATTATTTTATACTTTCATAAAAAGTCAAAAAGGTGAAACTTCTATTTTAGATGAAAATTTAGAAAAAATTGAAAAATGGTTTACTCATGATATTTTATTAAATATAGTCATACCTCAAATTAATTTTAATTATATTCCTTTAGAGTTTAATCATTTTAATGATTTTAAAATAAATTATAACAAGTGTTTTTTATCTTATAATATTTATTGCTCTTTTTTGTTTAAACAAGAAAAAATATCTTCCACTAAGAAAAAATTAAGTATATATTTGCATAATTTAGATATTCAGTCACTCTTTGTAATTTTAAGAAGGGAGCAGAATTTTCTAATTAATCAAAATAAATGCTCTTTTTATTTTGCTGAAAAGATACCTATAATAAATTATTGCTTATATAATGAATCAAATGACACTAATGTATTTTATAATTATGATCAAAATAGTTTCATTGAAGAATATTTATCAGAGGAATATAGAAATTCTAAAGATGAAAAATTAGGTACTCAAAATAAAGAATATATTAATAATTTAGATAAAAATTTAAAAGATAAAACAGTAGAAAAAAATATAAAAGAAAAACTTCGAAATGTATTTAATAGTTATAAAAGAAGTAGTAACTACAATAATAGTTATCAAAATAATGCTAACAGTATTAATGAAAAAATACACTTTAAGGTAAGAAAAGGTTGTTATGAATTAAATAAGAATGGTGATACATATATTAATACGTTTTATCAAAATGAAAATGTTTTTTTCAATGAGTCTCTTGATACTATAAAAGAATTAAATAAAAATGTTTGTTCCAATAGTCTTAGTTATAATATGTGCAATTTATTTAAGAAAAAATTGGCAAAAGATAATATAATAAATGAAAATACACAAAATTTAAAAATTGAAAATTTACAAAGTCTTAAAAATGAAAATATGCAAAACTTAAAAACTGAAAGTATGTTAAATTTAAAAATTAATAATATGACAAATGGCAAAAATGAAAACATCATTAGTAAAAATAGTATGGAAACAAATAAAAAGGGTTTTTGGAATTTTATACTACGGCAAAAAAAAAAAAAACAATTTGACGAAATTATTAAAGAAAATTCAAACATAAATAATTATAAAAACTTCGATTTAATAATGAATAATGAAATTAATATAATACCTAATTCCTTTATTATATTTATTAATGATTACAGTAATAATGTAAGAGAAGTTGATATGCATATTTCTAAATACACAATTAATATTAATAATTTATTACCAATTTTGAATTTTATTCCTGAAAATAATATTTGTCTTGAACTTTTTTTGAAAAACGATAACTTTATTGATAAAAATGTTATTGAAATTCTTAGTGTATGCTTAAGTATAAGTAATAAGAAAAAAAAAATTTTACGTCTACATATTAATGAAATGAAAGCATATTTTCTTCATTCTTCTTATATAAATAATGAAATTGAAAATTTAAGAATTTTTTTGAATAAAACAAAAAAAAAGAAAAAGACAACTAATATACATACTCAGAAAAAATTTATTGAACATGAAGTTGTTAATGATCCATTTAATTCAAAAACCGAAGAAAATGAAAATGAAGAAAATAAAAAAGAAAATAATAATATAAAATTAAAAGCAATGATACAAAATAATGAATTTAAATTAAAAAATGATATAGTTAATTATAATAATAATTTACCTTTAGACTCCAACAAATATTCAGATGATGAAAATAAAGATAAATTAAATGATGTTCATAATATTTTATATAGAAATAAAAGTACGATAAATTTTATAAGAAACCAAAAAATTGATATATTAAATGTCCATAATATAATTTTAAGTAATTTATTTGTACCTCAAAAAAATGTGTATCATATAAAAATAAATAATACTTTATCATATTTAAAAAAAAGAAACTTTATTTATTCTATTAAAAATAATTATTATGTATTTTTAAGAAGATATTTTGAATATAATAAAAAAAGTAATAAAATAAAAAATAAAAATTTATTATCAATAGGCCTTTATATTCAAATAAAAAATTTGTTCTTATTTCAAGATAAAAATGATTCTCTACTTTATTTACATAATAATCATGTTCAAGTGGAGCATTTGTTTCATTACTCTTTTTATGATAATAACAATGATTATATTAATTCAAATATTTTGACAACATATGGAATAAAATATAATAATAAAAATAAAAAAATAGAATGTGTAAAAGAAAAATGTAGTAAGAATCCAAATTCTCAGTTATTAAATATGGATGATATTGAAAATAATAAGATGCAAAGAAGTATACATATAAATGATAACGTAAAAAATAAATCTTTTTTAATATGCGTTAAATCATTAAGACTTAAAAAAAATAATAATGTATTTTCTTTAAGAATAGATATTCTCAACTTTAGTTTAAATGAAATTTGTTTATCTTTATTGAGCATATATAAATATGTTATTCCTCATGATCATATACAACTAATTAAAATGAGAATAAATAAATTTCTTAAAATTAAACAATTTCTAATTGATAATAATAAAAATACTTTACATTTAAAAAAATTTAACATAACAAATAATTTAATGCACAAATTGTTGAATAAATTTTTTTATACGAATAATATAACAACAGAACATTATACAATTAATAAAAATAAAAAGCTACAAAATTTATTAGTTGTAAATAAGAATTATGAAAAATATGTAAAAAATTTGATTATCAAAATTTTAAACCATGAAAAAATATTATATAATAAAGAGGATTTTGAAAACATTTTTTATATGATTCTGAAAAAAAATTTATACAAAACAGATGATAATAATTATTTTCATGAAAAAAATAATAAGCTAAGTAATTTAAGTAATCTTTATAAGAATGAAACAAAAAGGCACATTCGTCAAAATTCAGATACCATATATTCAATTAATTATAATAATAATAATATTAATAATAATAATAATAATAATGATAATAATAATGGTTATAATAATAATAACATAAATCCAAAATTTTATTTTAGTTTAACAGAAAATGAATATTATACATGTAAGGAAAACAATTTGGAGAATAATGATTATAATAGTAATTATAGTTATAATGATAATTTTAATCTAAATACAAAAAAATATTTTCACTCAACATATTGGGAAAATGAAAAATTAAATGATAAAATTGAGAATGATGACGAAGATAGTATAAAAAGAAAAGTTGAGATAAACAATTCAAAAGAAGAAAATCTGAGTTTATTAAATTTATCAAGAAAGTGTTACTATGAAAATACTAAATATACTAATTTAAGAAATCTTTTTAATTTTGATTTTTCAAGTAATGATAAATGTATTATTGAAGAAAAAGACATTTTTACTCATAACAACATTTCTTCTTTTGAAAATAATAGAACAAATGATCTAAGTGATGATAACAAAAATATAAAAAATGCAAATACTAAAACAAATGTATTTTTATTTTTTTTTTTAATAAATAAAACAAATATAGCTATTTATAATAAAAATGAAGGAATATTCAAAATAGTTAGTAAAAATTTGATGAGTGAAATTTCTCATTTGAATAGTAGTATAAATATATCGATAAAAATTAATTCCATATATTTTTTTTATATACAAACAATTTTAAAAAATAATAATATTGATAAATTTAAAGAAAAAATACAATTAAATTCATTGGAGGAAATAGAAGGAAGTAATTTATATAATAATGAATGCAAAAAATATGTAATTGCAACTGATTCTGTTAGTAATATTTTTAGTATTTCCAAATCCAAGTTGAAAAAAAGAAAAAATATTTTTTTTGAAAAAAATGTTTGTATTCTAGAAAAAAAAAAGTTTAATTTATATATAGATTATGATATAAAAAAAAATAAATTGAAACCCCAAATCTATCTAGATATAAAAATAAATAAAGAAATATATCAGAAAATAATAAAACTATCATTAATTAATTTTTACTTTTTTTATAGTTCTACATTATTTATTTTATTAAACAATATAGCAATAAATTATTTTTTAACATATATACAAGAAAAGGAAAAAATAGAATCTTTTTTATGTAAAAATAAATATTCTGAAGAAAATAAAAATGTAACATATAAATCTGATGATGTCAATTTTTCTAGTTTCAGCAATGAGAAACAAGAAAAAGTAGAAAATGAAAATTTTTTAACATATAGAAAAAGGAAAGTTATTACGTCTTTAGAAAAATGGATTAGTAGTGATGACATAGATAAGTTAGTTACATCTAGTAATGAAAGCGTTTTACCATACATCTATACAGGCTATGATGCAAATGCTAATATTAGTCAAAACGCAAATAAGGAAAAGGAATCAGAAAAATCAGATGTTATTAATTTAACTAATAATGAATTTTATTACGATTTACCTGAAGATGATAATAATATTAATGGAAGAAAAAAAAAATTCATTTGTGATGATTATCATAAAGCACAAGATAATTCAATTCAATATATAGTGAACAATGAAAGAAGTGAAAATATAAATACTAGCTTATACGACAATTTATACCAAATGAATAATTTTACTTATTCTAACAAAATAAGAAATAGTTTAAATAAGAATATTAAAAGATATTTAGAAAAAAAAAAATCCATTGATCTTAATAGAAATATTCATGGAACAATTTTATTTGAAGACAAAAATTTATTCTTACTTAATTCTCATGAACCTAATGAAGTAATATTAGATAAAGAGAAAAAAATAGAAGTAAACTCAAATATAGTAAAAAATAATGAACCATCTAAAATGTTTAGAAACAAAAAATCTTTTCTAGAAATTTTTCAAAAGGTAAATAACAGAAAAAAAAAAGAAAAAAATAAAAGCATAAAAAATAAAGAAAATAATATTTATTCACATGATAGTATAGTCCATCATTATTCTTCAAATAAAAATTATTATGAAAATTTAAAAAAAAATTATAACTTTTTTTCTAATATAAAAGGCTCTATGAGTAAAAACAATAGTTTATATTTAAAAAAAAATTGTTTTAAAAATAATAATATTTATAATAAAAACAAAAATAATAATAACTACATTAATAATAAAGACGGTAATGTTATTTTTAGTAGTAATGAAATAAATTGTTACAAAAAAGAAAATGAAAAAATAGATACGAGAAATTTAGAAAAAGAAAATACAGAAAGAAATACAGATATTCAAATATATATATCTTTCAAAAATGTAAATATATGCTATCTCATTAATTATCATAGATTCAAATATTTATATAAAAAAAATTACAAAATTGATACCTATATGAATGATTATATGAATTTTATTGATAGTTGTTCTAATTACTGTGAAGAAAACTATAATAAAGAACAAAATTATGATCATATAGGAATTATAAATAAGGATTTATATAATTTAAATTTTAATTTTTTATTTAAATTTGAATATGTGCTTTTAGAAAATAAGAAAAAAAGTATTAATGCACATTTTCCTTTTTTATATATTATTTTAATGAAAAATTGTAATTATGCTATTTCACATCTAACAATAATAGATATCAAATTTTTTTTAGAATTTTTATATAAAAAACAAGGAAAAAAAAAAAAAAATAATGGACAAAAAAAAAATACTGAAGAAGATAATTCCAATTTGGAAATAAAAAATTACGAAAATGATCTTTTAAAAAAATTTTCTCAAAATAGATATTCATGTGTTAAGAACATATGTCATAATGAATACAAAAAAATAGACAATTTTTGTGACAACACGAATAAAAATCATGACTTCATAAATGTTTCCAGTAGGCTTCCAATGAAAAATATAGAAAAGAATAACAATAAAATACATAGTAATCCAGTTAATTCTGTAAAATATAACAATAATATAAAATACCATAAATATAGGAATAATAGTTTATCTGGTAATTATTTAATTAAAAAAAGTTCCAAGAATAGTAATACAAGTGAAATTCTTTCATTAAATAAACAAATAAAAAGTTCATGTGATAAAAGTTATGCAAATATTACCGAATATAATTCAAAAGATTTAAGTAATAATAAGAAAAATTTTTCTTTTTGCAAATCAAGCGAATATGAAATTAATTATAATGAATTAAAGAAAAATAATGAAAAGGATTATATGAGTGAGCTAAAAATGGATAACCAAAAAATGCAATCTACAAATAGTAATAAAAATATAAATAAGCAGAGATCTTACATTAGTTATTTATTTAATTATAGAAAAAAAAGTGATTTTTTTAAAAAATATAATAACGAAAATGATGTTATACAAAAAAATAGTGTTGAAACTCAATTTAATTCACTCACATATACTACAGATAAAAATAATGATATTTCAAAAAATACAATTAAAAAAAAAAAATCAACTAAAAGATCGTTAAGCTTTTTTAGCTTTAAATCGCGTGAATCCAAAGAGAAAAAATTGAATAATATAAATAGTAATACATTAGATTTAATTAGTACAAAAAATGATAATAAGTCTTATGATTTATTGAATATAAAAAAAGATAATTTAAATGCACATATAAATAGACATATTTCAGGAATGAAACGAAATAATAGTATCCATAATTTGTATTATAATAACAATAACAAGATGATCCCTATTGAAAAAAGTTTTAGTAATTATTTATATACAAAAAACACAGAAACTATAAAACCTAACAAAAAAATTGATTTAATAAAAACAAAAAGAAAGATGACATTTAACAAAAAAAAAAAAAATAAAGATCCAATGAAAATAAAGAAGAAGAAAAATAATACACATAGCAGAACAAAAATTAATAACCGTTGGAAAATATCTTGTTGTAATTTATCTATATTTAATATTAACATGTTTAATTGTATATATTTTAAAAGATATAAAAGAGAGGGAAAAGTAATTCTACATCCGCTTATATACAATTATAAAAATGCTAATAATTTAAATTCAATTAAAATAAATAATGAAAAGGAAAATTCATTTCTACATAATGATTTTGAAATGAATGATTATCTAAAAAACATTACTTATAAGAATTTTATAAATAACAATCATATAATTGAAAATGAATTAAAATTTGTTGATTATGTAAATCAATTATATAACTTAGAATGGTTTAACAAATTTAATTTTCATCATTTATATAATGTTAATAGAATTCCTTCCAAATTTCCTAACTGCAATAATTTAAAAAAAAAAAAAAGAGAATCTATTGTATGTTGTTATATACCTATTTTTTATAAGAATATTTCAATATCGTACAGAAATATATATAAATTTTTATTATTAAAGAGGTATTATGAGAGTATATCATATTTGTCTAAAATGTCAAAAAATAGAGATTTACATAAAAATTTAGTTACAGAAATAAAAAAAAAATATAAAGAACCTAAAATGAATGAGAATATTTTAAACAAATTAAACTATAAGAAAAGTGAAAAAATAAAATGTGACAAAAACAATAATAAAAAGGACGATAAAAAAAATGCAAAATATAAAAATAAAGACATTACTCATAAAAATGATGAAAGCATTAAGAGAAAAAAAAGCACAATAAAAGATAATAATGACATAAATAATATGAAAGAAAAAAGTAGTAAAAATAATGAAGTTACAATAAATGCTACTGATAATAAAAAATACTCGTTCAATAATAATAATATTGAAATGAAAAAATATAAAAAAATTTTTAATTTGGAAAAATTAAAAAATAACAGAAATTACCAAGAACTTAAAGAAAGTAGAAATTCATCTATTAATAACAAAAGTATTAATAGAAATAACATTTATGAATTTAATGATAGAAGTACTGTTTTCAGAAATAATAACATTTCTTCTGAAGAAACCGATTTATATAATAATAGTTCTAATAGTTTCAATAATTATTTAATATATAAAAATGATTTTTTAAAGTATAGTTCATGGAAGAGAAATCAAATTTATATATCTTTAAAAAAAGTAGAAGAATGTGAACAGTTAAAGAAAAAAAAAAAAAAAAAAAGATTAAATTTTTACATTTATGTTCATTCTTCTAGTATAAACATAGATCCATATTTTATATCAACTTATAATTTTCATTTTGTAAATAGTCTAAATAAAAATTTAATTTTTTATGATATAAAAGAAACGAAGGAATACTATTTCCATAAGTACAAACAATTGAAGAATTATTACAATAAAAAGTTTGGTAATACAGAAAAGAAGAATTATTTAATTGAAGAAAGATTTAATGATAATAATAATATTAATGGTATTAATGAATTAAAATATAATGAAACGAATAATAAATACTATAACGAAAATAAATATTTTTCAAATATTAATAATTATTGTAGTAATTATAAAGATGAAAAAAAAGAATTATATGATGAATCTTCACATGGTGATACATTAAGTAAAAATAAATTATGGAACTTTATGTGCATATTTAACAAAATATCAACAACTATTAAAGAAAAATTAAAAAATAAAGTTGTAATTAATGCTGATTTTAATAATATAGATGTTAACATTTTGAATTGTTCCTATATTTATGAGAGTAAATTTTTATTAATGAATCATGTTCATCCTTTTTATAATAAGAAATATAGTAATGCATCAAAAGAAAAATATGAAAATATCAAAAAAGACAATGATAAAGATATGAATGATTTTTCTAGCTATGAATCTATTGAACACAAAGATTTTTATAATACCATAAACAATTTAATATTCAGTAGTTTTACTAATTATTATCATAATAATTCCTTTTATATTATTTCCATCAATGAAAATAATATAAAGAGAATTTCTATTCAATTATATTTAACTGTAATATGTAATAATATAAGTAAAAACATAAATGATATATTAAGTCTCATTGTTCATTGTTTCAGGATTAAATTTTCAACCTTAAAACAAGAGAAAGTTAGTAAAATTATAAAAAACAGTGAACATAATATAGATGATATATTATTAGAGGAAATAAAAGAAAATAAAGATGAAATAAGAAAAAAATTAAAAAATAAACAAAAAGATATTTTTAGAAGAAACAATATGTTGAATATTTATAATAATATTTCTAATAGTTATAAAAATAAGTTAAATATATTTAGTTCTTTAAATAATAATTTAATTAATAATGCTCCTAAATACAACTCATCAAGTAATACTAATAAGACGAATTATTCTAACATATATTTTAATTCCCCCAAGTCTTTAAATTATATATCATCTTCTTCATTAATTTCTTCTTCCATTTATTCTGTTTTATCATATAATTCAAATTTCTTAAAAAGTAAAATAAGCGAAAACAATAAAGACAGAAAAAAAAAAAAAAGGTACTTTTCAATTCAAGAAAACAATAAAATGAATAAACTAAGAATAGGAAAAAATTTGAATATAATAAAAAAATATGACACAAAAAGCAAATGCTTATCTGATAGTTTATATACAAGCAATTTCATTTCATTAAAAAAATTACTTACGAAAAATGAGAATGAAGAATCTTTTAGTTTTAATAATTCTATATCAAATAGAAGGTGTGCTTTAGATAATTCTTTTATGGAAAAAAATGTGATAAAAAAAAGAAAAATAAAAATCAAATTTTATAATTATATTAAGAAAATTTATAATAATATTACTTATAAAAATAAAAATTATAAAAAAAATTTAAATAACATTGTTGAAAATATTAGATGGATTATTAATATTGAGAATTTTGTATTTTCTTTGCCTTCATTTAATGAAGGGTTTAAATTTGATCTGTATTTGAATAAATTGATTATCTATGATTACAACAAAATATATTTATGTAATAATATTTCTCAATTCAGATTATTTATAAAAGATAGTGCTGATAAGAGGTATTTGGATTTATGTAACAAAATTCTAAATATTTATAATTATTTAGATTTAAATAAAGATACTTTAGAAGGAAATGTAAAAAGAAAATTCCATTTAAAAAAAGTACAACAAGAAATATATAATAATCAATTTTATATTATAGCAAAGGAAGATATTAATAATATTAATTTTAATATAGATATAAGTAATACCAGACTGACAATACATAATGAAACTGTAATGAATTTAATAAGTTTTTTTACTGAATTAACAAGTAATATCTTTTCTTTTTTATACGTTTATTCATTATTACCAGATTTTCATAAATATGATTTATCGTGTTTTACCTCATGCATAAATATAGAGAATTTTCAGAAAGGCTTATTATTTTATAATGATCTTTTTAAAAATTATATTAAAATAAGTAGAAATGGGAAATATGTAAATATGAATACTTTAAATTTTCTTCCTTTTAACAAAAGAAAAGAATCATGTGAATCTGAAGATAAAGTAATGAACTTAACTGATAACCAATTTAGCAGATCCTATTTTGATGAAAAAGAAGATAATAATTTAAAAATTTCAAAAGAAGATTTTTCATGTAGTTATGATAAGAATATGTATCTTTCAAATGATGAAAAGGATATAAAAGACAAAGAAAGTAGTGAAAGTTCATCTAATATATGCATTCCTGATAATTTAATAGAAAAAATATTGTTCTTTAAAAATAAAATAAATTATAATTATATAATTATGAATAAATTTGAATATCATACTGCTACAAATACATCATTAAAAGAATTAAATGATAAAAATTACTACTTCTTAGCATTTCTAAATAGCAATTTAATTTTTTTTTTATATTTTTACACAAAATATAAGACTCATTTAAATTATTTGTCTAATGAGAATATTTTTAAACTTAAAATTAATTATCATTACCCTATTAGAAAAATAAAAATTCCAAAACAAGTAAATATAGATGAAGTACATGAAAAAATAAAAAATAATAAAAAATTTATAAATATAAGTAGTTTTCATTTAAAGAAAAACGATGAAAAAGAAGGGCATAAAGTTTCTCTATCAAAACTAAAAAAAAAAAAAAAATTAGAAAAAATAAAAAACAAAATAAAAAAATATAAAAAAAATATTAATTTAAATGGAGATAAATGTAGTAGTTATACAATAAAAAATATAAATGACAATAATAATAATTTAATGATCAAAAATAAAAAAAAAAGTAATACATATGAAATTAATAATTTCGATGAAGAAAGAAAATATCAAGAAGAAATCTCAAATGATTCAAATTTTAAAAATGAAAATGAAAAAATAGAAAAAAAAAGTTATAGCAGCTTAAAAAGTCATAATACTATTGATAAAATTGATCTCTTTTTAGATAATAAACGTATACTTGAATTAGACGATGATAATAAGAAAGAAGAAAATGAAAAATATGAAAAAGAAGGATTATCTAAAAAAATAAAAACAACTTTTAAAAAGTTTTTTACTAAAAGATTTTCCTCAAATACATCAAAAACTAAAAAAAAGGATGTAAATATGAAGAAGAATATATTTCCATATATCTCTAATAATTTCCTCTCTAAAGATGATAGTAGAGAGTTATTTAGAAAAAAGGATAAATTGGGAATAACATCATCAAACGATCATTTAATTTCTTTCAAAAGTAGAAATAATTTTATAAATAAATATACAAATATTAAAATCGAAATAAATCTATTTGAAATGTGGATTATTCAAGAAGATTTATTTACTTATAGAAATGAGCAAAAAAATAAAAATATAAAAATGAGTTATTTTATGAAAAAAAAAGGAAATTTTTGTAATAATAAGATAATGGAGGAAAAAATAAGAAAAAAACAAACATATAGAAATATCTTTTGTGAAGAAGACAGCATTGATAAAGAATTTTATGATACAAATAAAAGAGTAAAAAAAAATAAAATAAAATCTTTCAGTTCTAGTAATTCAGGTAATAATTTAAATATTTTAAATATTTTAGAGAAAATGAAAAATTGCAATAATATATATATAAATAAAAAAATTAATAAACAAGTTTTTTATATGGCACAAAAAAAAATATCTAATGATGAAAATGATTTAAATGAAAATATAATGAATGGAATTAGAAAAAAATATAAAATAAGAGAGAAGAAAAAGAATAAAAATCTTATTAATCCAATTATAAATAATAAAAGTGAATTAACAAATTTAAATAAAGTTTCTTTATTTAGTGATAATATAGGTAGCAATAATTTTAGCTATAATGATGAATCTTCAACATATTTATTAAGCAATTCAAATAGTAATAGTAATTTTTCAAATGAAGGAAATTTAGAAGATAATGATTTTTTAAAAAAATTAGAATATAAGAAAAAAAAAAAAAAGGATAAAGAATACTATATATGGAAAAAAAAAGAGAAAAAAAAAAATATCAGAGAAAATAAAAGAAATATTTGCTTATCTTTGATATTTAGTTTAGATATATATTATAAAGAAAAGAAAAGTATTGAAATGTCTAATTTAAAAATAGTTATGAAAAATTTCAATATTATGTTAGGTAAGTGTTTTAATTTTAATGAAATATATGATAAACTTAAATTATATAAAAGTAATAAAAAATTCAAATCATCTGGACTTGATTCTAGTATTTTAGATATAAATTATTTAAATGAAAATGATAGCCATAGATCAAGAAATGAATTTTTTTTGAAAAATAAAAAATATTTTAAAAATGATCAAGATTTTTTAAAAAAACAATTAGAATACTCCTTTTATGATAATACAAATTTTTATAACATATATTATAATGAAATGAAGAAAATTAAATCTCTAAAAAAGCTTATGAGAAATAAAAAAATGAAAAAATTCCAAATTAATAATAAAAATGATAATAATAATAATAATAATAATAATAATAAAAATAATTCAACTGAAAGTATAAATAAAAATACTTTTAAAAGTGTAATTAATAAAAGTTTTTTTTCTGATGTTAATGATAATGAAAAAAGTAATTACAGTTATGAAATGAAAAAGTATAGCAATAAAGATTCTTGTGAGAATGTTATCTATCTACACAGTTCAAGCAGAAGATCAAGCAGTTATAATAACATATTTTTTTTAGAAAATAAACATAAATTATTTTATGAGGATAAGTTTAATATATTTTTAAACCAAAACAATAACATAATTATGCCTAATATTAAGGAAGAGAAAGATTGTTTAATAAATATTAATGATATTTATGTAAATATAAGTAGTTTAAATATAAAAAAATCGTTTAAAATTATATTTTATGATTTGTTAGTTAATATAACCATAGATAATATAAAAGAGTTATATAAATTTTACAAGGTTTTCAGTTATAATATTTATTATGCAAGTTTTTATAAAAATTATTTTTCTTTTTCTAAAAATCTTTATATACGTCCTTTCTTAAATAAGAACAAAACCTTTGTTGAAAAATCGAGTGAAAAATTGAAGATAAAAAATATTTACAAGGATTGTGTGAATAAATTCGAAAATTTAAAAAGAAATATTTTAGATAATAAATTAAAAATGTTAAGAGAAAAACAATCAATAAAAAAGAAGTTAGAACAAAAAAAATATAAGAATAGTTCTGATTCCAATATATTCTATAACAGTGATTATGATTATATAAAATTTCATAATATAAATAAAAAAAAAATAAATAAAAATAAAAAGGAAAGACAGGAATTAATATATACACACAATAAAAATAGTGATACACTGAATAATAACAGTTGTAGTGGTTCCAGAAAAAAAGAAAATACATTGATTAGTGAAAATAGTAAAAAATATATTTCTTATAGTAATACTAATGAGTTATTTTGTTTAACAAAAGAAAAAAAAAATAATGTTAAGGATAATTTAAGGACAGAAAATTCATTAAAAGGAAAAATGTATAACTTGTTAAAAGAAAAAACAATTTATCAAAGAAAAGTAGAGAAGAAATATATAAATAGAAATTTAAATACCATTTATACTGTTCGTAAGAAATTTTTAATTCAAAACATTAATATATATAAAAATATTGTTGATTCTTATACTAAAATTCAAGAATTTATCGATATGGAATATAAAAATATGAAATATTTTGAAATAATTCATAATTTAAAAAAACATTATATACATATAGAATTATGTAAAGGGAATCTTTATAATTTATATAAGGAATTATTTTCAATAATTAGAAAAGTTAATAATGAAAAAAACATTATCCGACATGGTTTAATCTTTTTAAAATTATTAAATTGTTTCTATACATGTAATAATAAATATTTATCCAATTTGTTTTATTATTTATTTATCTTTTCTAAATATAATAAATTTGCTTATTATTTATGTAAGATTCAAAAATATTTTCATTATAATTATTTTATTAATTTAACTAGTAATATAAATGAATTCAATATTTGTCAAAGTAATACTACAAATTATTACAATTATTTTCAAAACTTTAATAATACTAATAATATTTACCCTAAAGAACGAAGAAATAATGAAAATATATCAATTTTAAATAATAAGATTAGTAATAGAATTATTAATGATAATTTTTCAACAAATATAGAAATATCGGAAAATTTAAAAAAGGAAAAAATAATTAAAGAAATTGGAGTTAAGAAGAAGGGTCTAACTTTTTTTATTATTTCAGCTTTGCTAAGTTTATACAAACCATATATGTATAAATATAAAAAAAAAAATGACAAAAAAAATTTTAAAAAGCAATTATCTAAATCAGTGGATAAATTATTACACATAAATAATAAAGATCATAAATTTTTACATAAAATAAAAAATAAAAAAGAGAGAAAAAAAAAAGAAATAGATTACATTTCGGAAATGAACACTGATGAAGAAGCATATAATTTAGATATAGAAATGGAAAATAAATTTTTTAAAAGTCCAGAGTTAATAAATTCTAATGAATTTCTAAAAAAACTTGATAATAATTATTCATACTTATATGATAAAAAATCAAAAAAAATAAAAATAAAATTGAAATTGTATATAAGAAATATATGTCTTAAAATACATCAATTAAATAAAGAAAGTATACTAACATTAAATTTGTGTGATTTGAATTATTATTTATTTACATCCCTTAATAAGTATCAATTTTTTTTCTATAATACAAAGCAGAAGGTTATTTTTTATCTAAATGAAAAAATTAAGCAAATCAAATTTGATGATATGCATAACATTCCCACAAAAAGTGAAACAAATGAAAATATAGAAAACAAATTGGAACTTAAAAATATGTGGAATGAATTATCAGGTAGTGAATCAATAATACAAAGTAATGTAAAAAGGTATAAGAAAAAACATAGAAAAAATAAAAACTGTATTAGAATAAGTTTAAAATTCAAAGTAGTTTTACGAACTTATGACAATATGTACAATATACAAGATACCATAATTAATCCAATTACATTTTATTTTTATATAAAAGAAAGGTATAAATATTTTCCATATTTACTAGTTCACGTTTATACAACTAGTATAAATATTAATATAACTACTTCTTTCTTATATTTATGTCAGTATTTATATACCAATGTTAATTTTAAAAAGGATTTTGTGGATGTTAAAAATTCTAATATAGAAATTTATAATGATCTACATTCTGAAATAATAATATTTTATAAAACAAGGACAAAAAATGATAATTATGTATGGAAATTGATAATTATAAATAAAAACGAATACCATGAATTCCCATGTGAATGCTTATACTTTTGCATTAATAAAAAAAAGGAAAAAAATAAAATAAATTCCGAATTTTATTCTATGAACAAAAACTCTGATGATTTTATAATAAACAATGAATATGATTTAAAAAATTTATTTAAAGATATTTGTAAAATTGGTTTCAAAAAAAGAAATATTTTTAATTCATTAGCGAAACAAGAAAAGCATTTATTATATGATAATACACACAATGTTTATGATATTTTATATAAATTTACATATAATATGCCTTTTCTTTATAAAAATTATGATAATGATAATAAAATTATAAATATAATAAAAAAAAAGTCTTCGTGGATATATATAGGTGTGCTATATACTGATGATTTATATTCAAGAGCATACAAAATTCCAAATGTAATAAAAACTAAAAAAAAAAATTATAAAAATTATTACATATGTTTTTATGTATATCTATATTAGAAAATAATTTTTATTTTTAATATGATTTTTTATACACTTTATAAAATTTAATTTATTAAATAAATTATACACATTTTATAATTACAATAAGTAGAATAGTAAAATAATTTATATATATGTTTTTTTAATATTTATAAATGTGGTAAAACTTCTATTTTTAAGTTACATACATATATCTTCATATATATATATATATATTTTTTTTTTTTTAATAGGTAAAATATAATTTATTAGTAGAACCAGAAATAGTAAGAAACAAATGGTGTCTTTGCATAGGTACATGTATTCAAATAGAAAATAACTCAAGTTTATATTTTCGAATATATAAAGAAGGAAAAACAAAATATTTTCCTCGTGTAAATTTTAAATGGAATTTAAAAAAAAAAAAAAATTTGAATGATAATTATTTAACTTGGGATGAAAATAATATAGATATAAAAAAAGATAAATTAAATAAGGGTCGAAAGAGTTTTAGAAGTTCTCACAAAAATTTTATTAGTTATATAGAAAAAAAAAGAAAAAAAAGAAAAAAAAGAATAAAAGATGGAGATTATATAAATATATTACCATTCAGTAAAAGAGCCATCCCTTTATTTTGGTTATATGATTGCACTTTGCCATATATAAAAATATTAAGAAAAAAAGAGAATAAATATAATATGAAAAATTTAAATAATTACAATGAAGATAGTTTAGATATTGAAGCAGTTCCATTTAATATATTATATAAACTTCTAAATAAATATTCATTAAATAACAATAATTTATATCAAAAAAAATTAGATATTGCTCCTTTTGAATTAGTTTTTAAAAGTTTAATAATGTTTTATTGCTATGTTAAAGTAAAAGATGTCCCCACACAACATATAAAAGAAACTTCTTATAATTATACGATTGTTATAGAACCCATGGTAACTATTAAAAATAATTTACCTAACCCTATTACTGTTATAATAAGATTAAAAAAAGAAAAAGGTTTCTTTAATTTGAATAAAAAAAAATATGAAAAAAAAGTTGAAGAAAATTTTTTTTATAATAACAATTACGAAATAGATGATGATTTAACAAAAATTTTAAAAAAAAAAGAAATGTTTGCTCTAGTTCCTCCTCATCACTATTGGTGTTTGCCTATATGCACTCAAGCATTTTATATGAAAGTATTTTATCATGGTTTACAAATAGAAAAAATGAATTTTATTTGTAATTACACGAATGAATTAAAAAGATATTTTGACTTTAAAAATATAAAGCTACCCGATTTAAATGACGTGTTTTTTAATAGCAAGATAAATGACGCTATAAATGAAGAAAATATAAATGTAAGGAATGGCAGCTATTTAAATAAGGAAGATTATAAAAATAATATAAATTATATTAATTATAGAAATAAAATGTTGTCTTATATGAATGAAAGTAACGATTTAACATATAATGAAATAACGAATGAATTTCCAAATAAACCAGAAAATAGTACAATTCCTATAAGAAACATGAATAATAGTTTGTATAGTACTAATACAAATAAAAATTTTTGCCACAATACAAGTAGTAAAAATAGTAATAAAAAAAATAAAAAAAGCAACAATAATTTCTTATATGTTACTGATGGATTTTTTTCTATTTATATGCCTTCCACTGATACTATAACTACAACAAAAATATTATATCATAAATATGGATTAATAAGCAATATTTTTTCTTATGATGAATTAAAATTTATATATTTTGAAAATAAAATAAATCAGACAAATAGAAAAATTTATGATAACTTACATATTTTTAAAACGATTACTATGTCAGCAGATGTATCTAGGAGAAAAATTGATTTTTATTTTCCTTTTTTTTTTGAAAATACTACGAATGTTTGTATTTGTATAAATAATAAAATTTTACCACCTAATAGTCGTTTATATATGACGGAGGAGGAAGCGAAAAATATAAAGATAAAATCATATAAGCATGATTATATAAATAATAAAATATTATGTAGTAATGTTAGTAACAAAATTGATTGCACTAAAACGAATATGATACGCCCTTTATTAAATTTAGTATATAGAAAAATAAATAGGAAACAAAAAGTACGATTTTGGGAAAAATATGAAGAAAGAAAAAAAAAATATATTAACAGTAGAAAAGGCATAAATACAGAAGAGGAACGTAATATGTATATAAGTAAACGAAAAGCAAATAGTATGAAATTAGAAAGTTGCAAATTAAACAAATTAAAAGACATGAATGATGATACAAATGAAAGAAGAAAAACAGATAATGAATTTAACAACGAAATTGATAAAAATAACATAAAAGATAATTTTATTGATTTTAGTAATTGCATAAAAGAAAAAAATAATAACAGAATGAAAGCTAAATTATTTACTATTCATAATGAAAATGATATGAAAAATGATACGGTTGCGCGTTCAGATAGTTTAAGTGATTTTTATAATAATATAATTAATAAAAATATTTTTTATAACCATAATAGTAAATATACCGAATTGTCCTTAGATACTAATGATGAATATAGTATTCAAAGTAATACAAAAAACACAGGGAAAGATAAATTTTATAAAAAAACGTTTAAAAAACTCTTAACAAATGATAATAAACTATTAAAAAGAAAAAAAAAAAATAATAATAATAAAAAATTGTTAGGAACATTTGATAGTATAAAAAAAATGAAAGCATTTAAATTATTTAATAAAAATAGAGAAAGGGATAAAATTAACAGAGATGAATTAGTAGAGGAAATGGAAGAGCAATCTGAAGGAAACAATTCTGTTGCTAGTAGTTCGTATTATGCAGACAATAATAAAATTTTAAAAAAAAAAAAAAAAAATATTATTTTCAATAATAAATTATATTCTTTAGATAAAATAGGAAATAAATATTTTAAGAGAGAAGAAAACATGTTAAATAAAAATGGAAATTATTCTTTCTATTCTGAAAATGAAGGAAATAAAAAAAAAACATCCTCATATATATTAAGTACTAATCTTTTTAATATCTTTAACGAAGAAGAGATAATAAATGATGAGGAATATGATGAAGGAATTTTTTTTGAAAATTCCAGTGAACAAGGCAAAGGAGAAAAAAATGAAAATACAAACAATTTTAATAAAGAAAATTCATTTAAGAAGAACTCTATTTTAAATTTAAATATAATGAAAAAAAAAAAAAATGTACAAAATGAGACAAAAAAAAAAAATCTTAAGAAGATGAAATTTAATAAAAATAAATATCAAGAGAATCCTTCTTTTAATACTAATGAAAAAATAAACAGGGATAATTTAAAAATGAGTAATATACAGAATAAAAAATTAAATTATATTGATTGTGATTTATGTGAGAGTTTAACAGGTAGTAGTGCTAGCAAATATGAGAAGCATGAAGAAGAATATATTAGTGTAAATGATGATTACCTCAATTCAAAAATGTCTTATTGTAAGAACATGCTAAATTCAAATGGGAACGAAAAATTAATAAATAAAGGAGGAAAAAAGAAAGGAGAAGAAGATGAAGATGATGATGAAGAGGAATCGGAAGAAAAAGAGGAAAGAGAAAAATTTAAAACAAAAAAAAAAAAAGAAATATTTAAAGATATGCTAAAAATAAAAAATATAAATAAAAAAAAAAAAATAAAAATAAAAAAAAAAGATTATTATGAAGGGGAATTTTTATCTTTAGGAATTTGTGTGAGATATGCAGAAGAACCATTTAATAAATCAAAGATTGTTACATTTGTTAATAGTTATATATTTATTAATAGGTTACCATTTGATGTTAAAATTGTTACTGAATCAATAAGAAAATTGGATAACATTTTTATAAGTCAAAGATCAGCAAATAATTTGGAATTAAATAATAAATCTGAAGAAAAATATCAAATAGAAGAAAAAAATACTAATAAAAATATAAGAAGTATTAATTCACTAAACTTATTATATGAAGACAAAAAAATGTGCGAAATAAATATTAATAATACAAATAAGATAAAAGAAAATAATAAGTCTGAAGCATATGAAGAAAATGAAAATTTAGATTCATATGATATTAGAAATAACAAAATAGAAAATAATAATAACAAACAAAATTATAATACAAGTAGTGCTAATTTTATAGAGAATATAACAAATATTGAGAGAAATAACAATTTAAGTAAAAATAAAGGTTCTGCGAATTCTGAATATAGCCAACGAACTTATGGTGAAGTTAATAATACTAAAAAATCAGATGTAATGTTAGAAATAAATAAGAAGAATGAAACATACATAAAAAGAGGAGAAATAGCTTCTTTTCATTCTCTTAGAAGTTATATAAAAATAAAAGATAGTAATGAAAATTATAGTTCTTTACCGTTTTCATTAATTCCAAAAAATGTACCATCAAATTTCCAAATAGAATTATTTAACATTAATAAATCTCAAATAAATAATATAAATAACTTATTAGTAGAAATAAATGTGTGCAGTGGTATATTTGGAGATAAACAACAATTACCTTATACATATAATGGATATTTTTATATTCTTAGTTTGCCAGTTAGGCCCCAATTTGAAATTATTAATGCAACTAAGTTCATAATAGCATATGCTACTGACTTTAATAAATATACCAGAAAATATATAAGCAATAATTATAATACTTATTTAAATAAATATAATAAAAATGGTAATTTTTCTGTAAAAATGATTTATCCTTTTAGTTCTATTTATTATACATTACATCATAATAACGAGATTGAAGCATCAAAAATTGCTTTGAAAATTGTGGGTGTTCAAAAAAGTTCATGGTGTGTTAATTCTATCAATTCTTTTATTGATAATGTAGTAGTACTGCCTTATAGCGTATATGGAGACACATTATTAAGAAGCAGGAATAATGATATAATAGAAAATCAATCAATTTTTTTAAACCATGGGAATTATAAAAATAGAGAAAGTCACAAGCTATTCGATAGGTTAAGTTTAAAAGGCAATATTATGGAAATAGATAATAATATATATAATCAAGAAGAGAGAAAAGAAAAAACAGAAAAAGAAAATATATTTCTTGGTCATAATTTAGTAAATAAAAAATTATATTCCTTTTTGATAATAAGAGATAATGGAAGTAGAGCTATTGTAATTACAGAAAATTATGATGTTGCTAGAAAAATAGTAAGCACAAAAAATTTTAGTAAAATTCATAAGTTAATAGCATTGAACAATAGAAAAAAAATAATATTATCTAGTAAAAATGCAAATAAAAAGTATATTTTAGATTATAAAAAAAAAAATTTTATATATTTTAATTTTCCCAATGTGTCCGTTATATACAATTTTAATGTGCCCAGAATAACGTTTACATGGATCCATAGGCAAGATGTAATAATAGCAGTCCATTTAACAAAATTACAATATAGTGGTCATATTTATCCTAAAGAAATTGTAGATAATGATATAAGTGAAATGTTTACACCAATAAATGTATTAAAAAAAAAAGAGTTAGGAGAATATATACAATTCGTTTTTTTAAATAGTTATATAGATTCGATATTCTTAATTGAACAAATACACATTGATCACTTCGTTAAAGGAGATATTCCTGTTATTTTAAAAAATACAAATATAAAAGAAAATGAAAAAGAAGATATATTTTTGTATATACATATAAAACAATACTGTGTGGACGTTTTTAAGCAAGCCCCTATATACCAAAGTATAACTATAAAAATTTCTCCGATAAATGCAAACATCGAACTATTAGTAATTGAACAGTTAATAGAAATAGTTGAGAAAGAAAAACAATTATTATTACTATATGAAAAAAAAGGCAAACCTTTACCACCTCTTATAGCCACTTCTAAGACAGCTAAAAATGCTATAAATACTACTTTAAAAATATTTTCAGATACTCATTTTTTGCAAATGTTGCAAATGTACAATTATATAAAAGATAAAATGGGAAATGAATTTACTTTGCAAAATAAACAAGTTATTAACAATAACTTTCTAAATTCTGTAAATATAAGAAATGAAAATAACTTAGAAATATTCGGAAATAAAAAAAAAATAAATGAAAGTGCCAATATAAAACCTAGTGTATACTCATATTATTTTAGCTCTCCCAAAGCTAGAAGGGTAACACAAGGTAAAATAATAAATTTTAAGAACATATTGGACTTAATGTACTCTGAAGATACAAGCATTAGTTCAAATTGTAGTAAATTAACTTATAAGAATAAAGAAAAAATATTACATAAAAAAATTTGTAAAGTGTTGGTGGGATATTACAAATACAAGAAAATAAATAATTTAATTAATAACACATATTATAATATTAATAATGTAAATGATGATCGTTTGTTACCAATAGAAATTCAATATTTTACAAATCATAAAATTTTTATGAAGACATTTTCTTCTCATTTATTTTTACATCCAAGTCCTCGATGGATAGATAATAAAAGCAAACCTGTATATATAAGAGAGTTTAAAATTTATCCTATAGAAATAATTGCATCTATTAGAACTTCTGAGCATAGAATTTCAAGAAGAATATTACATATAGTGGATGCATTACCACTAGATACTCCCTCTATGCGTATACATTTAATATCACAAAAAAGAAACTATATTGTATGTACTTGGGATGGTTTATTTCAGTCATTAAGAATTTCATATTTTAGGCAGTTATTAAGACAATCATTACCAAGTGCATGGTTATCTAATCCATTTGCATTTATTAAAGGTTTTATTATGGGATTATGTTCTTTGTTTAAAGAAACTATAAGAGGAGTAAAAACAAGTTCTAATTTCTTTGATGGATTTATGTCAGGTTTTAAGTGTGGAATAATCATATTAGTTGTTAATACCGTAGGTGGCTTATTTCAATCATTAAGTCATATGTTAAATGTATGCCATAAATTGATGGGTGGTTCTAGACCTAGACCTCCAAGTATTTTGGATTCATTAATTCTAGGATTTGATGGATTTATTTTAGATACTTTTTATAGACCATGGGTTTCTTTGTTTACTGAACCTAAAATATCTCTTAACAAAGGAAATAGCACCTTTAAAACAACTTGCATAGTTATTGGTTGTATTCTTAGATGCATATTTTCACCAATTTTTGGATTATTAAACTTTTTTGCTTCTTTAACAGAAGGTTTTGCTAATACATTAATTGGAGATTTCGAAAGATTTTCAAGAGTTCAAGAGAGAGCAGAATTTGAAACAGAAAAAATTAATAAAACTTTTTCAACAATTAAAAAAAGAACATTCAAAAGATCAAAGAGAAAAAGTATTAGATACAACAATAATACTTAAGGAAAAAAATTCCATAGATATATTAGACAAAAAGGATTTGAAAAAAATAAAGAAAAAAAATATATATAAAATTTTATAGTATCTTTTATAAAACTTTTCTTTAATATTTTTTATTTAGAGAATTTTTTTTTTTTTTTTTTTGTTCTAATTATTTATTCTATAACTTTCTTGTTTCTGTTGATTATATAGACGATTAGGTTTTTATTCTTTCTTTTTTTAAATTTTTTAGATGTTTTTATTTTATTTAATTTTTTTTTTTTTTTGTATAGACTTTTTTAGTGATAAACTTATTCATATATTTTTAATTCATCTTTTTATTGATTAAATTGTTTTTTTATGAAAAATTGAAAATAACTTTTTGTTTTATTAATTGATAATTTGTTATTTTATTTTTTTTTTTACATATAATATTATTAAATTTATGATATTGTATTTTTTTTTAAATCATTTTATTTATAATAATGAGAAAAAAAAAAAAAAATAAGGAAAATTTTTAGTTTAATATTCCTCTTAATTTTACTCTGATTATTTTTTTTTTTTTTTTAAATTTAAATGAGAATTAGAATTGTGTTATTTTACAAGAAGATTAAATAATAAGTATTATACATTTAAAATAAGAAATTTAAACATCTTTAGTATATAAGAGAATTTGACCTTCCATAAGAAATTTTCTAAACTTTTTTTTGCATATTAGGATTTTTATTATTCTCAATATACAATTATTATAAACAAATTAATAGATTATCTTTAAATTGAAGATTTTTAAAAAATTATTAAATTAAAAATACATAAATATATGTGTTTTAGATTTTGGTATTATAAAAATTAAAAGAGTTATAAATTGAAACGTATTAATATTTTTATTTTTATATGCGTGAAAATATAAATTACAAGTTTTTAAATTATAATAAAAGTAATACATTAAATTTGCTATACCTCATATATTTTTTTCAATAAGAAATGTAAATGAAGTATTTAAAAATTATCTTTTTATCATTTTAATTATTATTTTCTATTATGGTTTAATTGGTATTCATATTTTTTTTTTTTTATTATATTTTACTATTTTTTTTTTTTTTATAATTTTCCTTTTCTTTCTTTTTTTTTTTTTTAAGTAAAATGAACAAATGAAGATTTGCATCCTACTACTTTTTATATGTAAAAACGTATTATCCTTTAAAATTAAAAAAAATGTTTCAAATAATTTTATAAAAATTAAAAGTATCTATAAAGGTACTTTTTACAAAAGAAATATAACACTACAAGCACATACAAATAAAAATTTCAGAAAGTTAGGAAGAAATGCATCACAAAGAAGAGCTTTACTGAGAGCTTTAACAACAAGTGTTAATTAATATTTAATATGTCAAAAAAAAAAAAAAACAGATATATTTAAATATATTTCATTTTATTTTTATATTTTTTTTTTTTTTCTTACAGTTATTGAGACATGGTAAAATTATAACAACAGAAGCAAAAGCTAAGGAAGCAAGAAGAAAAGTAGATAGAATAATAACATATGCAAAAAGACATGATAATAATAAACAGTATGCTTATAGATTAATAGCTAATTATGTTTATGATAGAGAATTAGCAAATAACATAGTTAAACAGGTATTTATATATAAATATAAATAAAATAGTTTATAATAATATATTGTTTTCTTTATATTATTTCATATATATGTTCTTTTTTTTTTTTTTTTTTTAAATATGTTTTATTAAAAAGGCTCCAATTAAGTATAAAGAAAGAAATGGGGGATATACAAAAATAACACTTTTACCTAAAAGTAGAAAAGGAGATGCAGCAAGAATGGCTGTATTAGAACTTCTTTAAATTTTTTTTATTTAAATTTATTATTAGTAATATTATTCAAGTTTATCTTTTTTTTTTTTTTTTATTATCTTTTATTTTTCTCAATTTTTTTAAAAACTTTTTTTGTTTAAGGAAATAGAAATATCTATATATAGAATACTTTATATTTATTTTATATTCTATATAACTTGGTCATTTGTTTATATACAATTTTTTGCACAACTTTAAGTTTTTGATAAAGAAATTTATAAGATTATATGTAGTTTAAATCATTATAATTTATAATTATTACATTCTTTATTATAATAATTTTATTATATTCAAAATTGGGAATTTCTTATTATGTGTAAAATAATCGAAGATAATAAGGACCTAATAATTTTATTATCTCATTAAAGAATTTTTATATGTATAATTTTTAATACAAATTTTTGTTGAAATTACACATGAAAAATTTAAATAAAAATTAATTACATTTTTATCATTTTTTAAAAGAAGTAAAAATAGCTAAGATAAATAACATATAATTTTATCAAAAGAGAAATTTTAAGTATTTTTATTTTACCTTCAAAATGCTTTTAAATAACAGTTGTTTTTCTCTTTTGGGAGTAATAGAAAAATTCATTTTCATAGAATCATCATTTATAATTAAAAAAAAATAAATTTCTATAAACACATATTAAACATTTATTTATAAAAAATTAAGTTTCATGAAAAATTCAATATTCACTTAAGATTAGAGAAAAGAGTTATTTTGCTAATCAAAAAAAATAATGTTGTAAAAAAAATTTTTTTAATCTATACTATTGGGAAAAGCAAAAAAAAAAAAAATAAAAATAAAAATAAAAGACTGTAAAATAATAAATAAGGAAATAGTGTATATAAATAAATAATTAGATTACAAATAAATTTATTACAAGAAATTATAAAATTAAAAAATATTTTTATGCTTTATCTTTTTTTTTCATATAACTAGTGAAATTTGTACTAAATACTTTGTAATATTTTAAATTGTCAATAAAAATAATTCTAATGTATTTCCTTTAAAGTTTATTTTATTTTTATTAAAAGATATATTCTCATAATTTTTCAAATTAAAAATAAAATAATAAAAATAAAATTACTTTTTTTTTAGAATATTCTTATGTAAAGAAAATACAAATATAAAAGTTAATTCTTTTTTTTTTTTACTATATTTCTAAATATTTATTTAATTAATTTAGTTTATTTGACAAATTATAATTACAGTTCTATTTAATTTGTTTTACCTTTCCTTTTTTCTTTTTATTATTTTAACTATTTGTCAAGTATTTATTTAAATAAAAATAAAAATGTTTGGAAAAGTTACAAAATAATTTAGAAAATAACATTTATAAATAAAATAATAGTAAAAAAGAAGTTAATTCTTTTTCTTTAAAATAATAATTAAAAATTTGTTAATATATTAAGACATATATATTCATAATTTTACGTAAAAAATAAATAAATAAATATATGTATATAAATATATACATACATATACTATTAAAATAAAACATATAACATTTACATGTTTTTAATTTTATTATTCCATTCAATTCCTTAGACATTTTTTAAGGAAAAATTTAATTCAAAAAAAAAAATGAAAATATAATAAAATTTTATTAAAAAAAAAAAGCAATATTTAAAATATTTTAAATTTAAGCTTTTAATAACTGAAAATTATAAAATTATTAAATGTATTACAAATTGATAATGCTATATTTTTAAAGTATTTTTCTTTTTATTAATCAGTTTTATTATGTTAAGACACTTTTTTTTTATGATTTTTAATAGAAAAATAAAGAATATATGAAAATAGGAAAATGAAAATTGGGATATATAAAAAATAAAAAACTGTTTAAAAAAAAATTTTTTTTTAATAAATAATAATGTGTGTATATTATATACACTTACATAATTATGCACATTTTGAACGAAACATAATAAAAATCAAATAATTAGTTTTTAATAGAATATTGATAATTAAAAGAATATTTATTAATTTTACAAAATATAAATATAAATTAAACTAAAATTTATAAAAGTTTTAATTACTATTCAACAAATCACTAATAGAAGACACTAATATGCATTATAGAAGATATATATACATAAATATATATATATATTCATATATTATATTCCATATATAAAGGCTAGTTTAGAAAATAAAAGAAATAAATAAACATGAAAAAATATATTTTATAAAATTCAATTAAATACAAAATATTAAAAAAAAATTTTAATTTTATCTTTCCAATATATATGTATACTATATAAAACAATTATAAAAGGATATGTATAAATATAATAATACGTAAATACATATATATAAATATATATATATATATATATTTATATATATATATATTTATATATGTAATGATTATAAAAAAAAAAAAAAAAAGAGAAAAAAAAGAGATAGGAAAAAATGGATAATTTTCAAGTACAAAATGCATTAAAGATAGATAGTACAATAAGTTTAGTATTAGGAATAATGTTAACAGTAATAGGATCAATATTTATGGCTATAGCAAATACTTTTATGAAATTAGGATTAAGTGACTCAAAAAAAAAAAAATATTTTTTTAGTAATTATTCTTGTGATATGAAATGGTATGTTGGATTTGTTGTTTATTGTTTTGGTTCATTTTTGCATATAATTGCTCTTGGATTTGCACCTGCAAGTACTTTAGCACCAATGAATTCATTTGGATTAATTGCAAATGCGATAGTAGCAAATATTTATTTACATGAAAAATTAGGAAAAATTGAAATAATATCTACATTAGGTATATTTTTTGGTATTAGTATATGTGCATGTGCATCTTTCTTATGTGAAACTGAGAATGTACTTTTTAATCCTTTTAATATAATTGAGAGTTGGAAAAATCCATGGTATATTTTTTACATTTTTATTTCTATATTTTTATCTTTTTTTACTTTGATTTATCTAAATTATGAGGAAAACAAGATAATATTAGGAAATGAAGAAATTTATGCTGCTAAGAAATATGTAGAGTTAAGTGTTTATGATGAAAAAAAAGAAGAAATAGAAGAAAGTAATATGAACTCTTTGATAAATAATAAAAAAATAAATGAAACATTAAATATATATCCAAAAAGTATAGGATTATCTTACGGTTTTTTAGCTGGTTTGATTGGGTCACAATGTGTTTTAGAAATAAAAGAAATTGTAGCATTCTTAAATATCGGTTTAACAAATAAGCATATATATAAAACTCCTTTACCACATTTATGTTTTATATTTCTTGTAATATCAATTTATTTGCAGATACATTTTTTAAATTTAGGGTTAACAAGGGGTGATGCAACTTTAGTTGTTCCTACTTATTATGTATTTTGGACGTTTTTTGGAACATTAGGAGGTTTAGTTAAATTTAATGAAATTCAAAATTTTAATTTTAATTCTATTATCTTATTTTTAGTTGGATTTGTATTAACTGTTTTATTTATTTCTATATTAGCTGTACAAGAAATAACATTTTTACGTAAATACGTAGATAAAGAAGTCCCTGATTTACCTTTAGAAAATTTAGATATTCATACACAAGTCTTGCAGAATAAAAAATTATCAAAACAAGTTTTATTAAATATGGGACTATTTCCAGTTTCTCTACTTGGAACTACAGTTGGAAGAAAAAAATTTCGTCCATTATATGAGAGATTTAGAAGAACAAGAAGCATTTTATCAGATACTCACATTGGAGATCAGCATTGTGAATATTCGATTGATAATAATATATATAACGCCTATACATTACCTTATGATATATATAATACAAATAAAGATAATTTTAATGACAAAAAAAAAAAAATAAGAAATAATGACAAACAAGTTGAAAATACTTATATTTTTTGAAATGAAATGTCAAAATAAATTTGATACTTACAATTTTATTTAAAAATAAAAAATCTATATTATTATTAATATCATTAAAACTAAATTACTAATAAAAATCTACATTAATTATACAAAAAATATGATAAAATTAAAACAATATGATACAAGTCATATAAATATTTGTTTCACTAATTTCATTAATAAATAAAAAAATATTCTTACATTTTGTTTTGCATAAATCTGAAATAAAACATAGAAAAATATCCCTTTTTTTTTGGCCTTTTTGTTCTTTTAAAAAATCTTTTAAATATTCTTAGTTTATTCAATAATTATTCATGCTTATGTATTTTTTTTTTTTTTTTTTTTTTTTTTATTAAAGAATTATTTGTATGTTTCACTCATTTCTTTCACTTCTCTTTTTTAAATTTTCTTTGTGTTTAGTTTTTACATCATTTTTTTATTTAATTATACTTTATATATTTATATTTTAATATTTCCATTTATTTTTTATTTAATTTTTATATCTACTTTATGCTTCAATTTAATATATATATATATATATATTTTTTTTTTTTCCATATTCAATAGTTTAGACTTAATTTTTTTTAATATTTTTTTTAAGTTGTTAAAAATATTATTTTTTTTTAATAAGAAAATAGTTGACAAAATTTAATTATACATAAATATTTTGATAATTAGTATGCATCTAAAAAAAAAAAATGAATTAATAAATATTTTCAAAATTTTATTTTAATTATATAAAATAATAAACTAAATTAAAAATAAAATGTTTTTTGTTAGAATACCATTTTAAAATTCATTTTTTTTTTTTTTTTTTTTATGTATATATTTTTTAATTAGTATAAAATGCTTGTTCATACTTTTTTTTATTTTTCTATAGCTCTTAAAATTATAAATGCTTTACGAATGAGTGTATTTACCTCTTATATAAATTCTCTTAATACATTCCCAAATAAAAATAAATTAAGAAGGAAGTATATGAACAGACTGAAACTAGTCGATGAATCAATTAAAAGTAAAATCATTTATTTAAAAAATTTAAATAATGAATTAAAAAAAAGAAAATTTATATATTTCTTTTTTTATAGATAACGAACATATAATTAAATTGACAGATAATGCAGAAAGGAAAATTAAAGTAATAATAAATATAAAAACATAAATAAATATTTAATATTATTATAACAATTAATTTAATAAATGTTGACATACAAAATTATTATATATATATATATATATATATATATAAATGATATATGCATAATAAAAATATTTATAGGAATTAGTAAAAGAAAAGGAAGAAGATTTCTTAATATTAAAGTTATTTGTTCAAAACGGGGGTTGCAAAGGTCTACAGTATAAATTAAACCCAATTAAAAAGGTATAAATTAAAATTTATTTAAACGAATTAATCCAACATTATTATTTTCTTTTTGTTTTTTATTTTTTAAGGATGAAATTGAAGATGATGATTATATACAACAATTTGAAAATTTAAGATTTATTTTATCTATAGATTCAACCAGTGTTATTTATGTTTTTAATAATACTCTTGACTATAATAATGACTTAATAAATGGTGGATTTAAGTATGTTTTATTATATTATGTAGATACAAAAATTATATTATATATATATATATTTTTTTTTTAATTAAAATATTATTATAATATATGTATATATTTTTTTAGGTTTATTAATCCAAATGCAACTAAAAAGTGTGGTTGTGGGAAATCATTTAATATTTAGTTAAGTGTAAAAATTTACATACAAATATCTTTTTTTTTTTTTTTTTTGTAATATTTTTTATAATAATAGATAAATACTTTTTGGTTATTAACGAAAAATTATATATAAAAAAATTAAGTTTTAATTTTTTAAAAATTGATAAAAATTATTTTATAAAAAATGTCATGTTATAATGAAAATAATTAAAAAAAAAAAAAAAATTATGATGCTCAAAATATTTATTTATCTCCACTAGCACATCCTCTACACCCACAATTTACGCACTGCAAAGTCTATAACATATAAAAATATAAGATAATAGTAATTTTTTTATAGTTTAATTATATATATATTAATATAAATTTATAATTATTTTATTTATATATCACAACAGTAAGTTTTTGAATAAGCACAATTTTTTTCATTAACTTTACCCTATTTCCTAGATTAGTTTTTGGAACTCTGCAAATACAAGTATTATTAAAGTTACTATCAGATACTTGAATACATTTTAGGCAGCATAAATTTTCATAACCTTGCTTTCTCCATTTAGAAATTAAAGCACCATCAACATATTTTTCTTGAACTAAATAATCATATAATTCTCCTAAAAAAAATGAATAAATAAATAAAATAATAAATAAATAAAAATAAAAATATAAATGTATATAACATTACTTGATATTTCTTTCCTTTTATAGTATAATTCATATATATAACGAGATGTTTGATGATTTATTTGAAATATTGGCCATAATATTTCATTTTTTCTCTTTTTAGATGTATCTTCATTTTCTAAACTTCTCATTTTTTTATTCATTTCATCTAAAAAGGATTCTACTTTATCCCACCCTTCAGGTGGTTTTCTTGAATTCATAGTTCTAATTCGAGGCATTTTAACTTAACAAATTAATAATTAAAAATCATATTAGTATTTATATATTAATATCAATTATAGTTTAAAATATTAAAATATATTGTTCTTTTATTTTAAAAGGAAAAAAAATTTACTTTTATGATAAAAATACATCTTATTTTTTTTTTTTACATTTGCTTTTTTTTTTTTTTTTTTTTTTAATATTTTTATTTTAATGTAAATTTTTTTTACAATTAAAATTTTTCTTATTATAAGTGAGATTTTTATATTTATCCTTCTAAGCAAAAATATTTAAATAATTAAAAAAAAAAAAAAAAAAAGTAAAAATAGGAGAAAAACATATATATTTTTCATAAGCATAGAGTCAAACGAATAAAGTATATTTCCTAACATATTTATTAGTTTATGATAAATTATATTTTTGATATTTATGTTATAATTTTTATTCTTAACTTAATTTTATGAATTATGTTTTCTAATTTTTTTTTTTTTTTTTTTTGTAGTTCAAAAATACATTATCTTATAAAACCCATATGCAATTTTTCTTTGTACATGTAGAAAAGAGAAAATGTCTATAATAATATTTTATTCTGTGACATGTTAGTATATTTTTTTTAAATTGTCCTTTTTTATTATATAGGATTATTCAATTGTTTCATAGATTATTAAATCAGGACATTCCTAAATAAGTTATATTTATATAATAATACTATGAAAAATATTTTAGATTATTTTAAATAGTAAAATTTAACGTTAATATAATTTTTTTTTTTATATTTAATATTCTAAAAAATTTTTGGATTGCTTCATTAAATGACTACATATTTATTATTCAAATTGCAGCAATTCTTAAATTAATTTTTATATATTTTTTGGAAAGGCATTTATTATTTCTAAATTATACATTTTTTTTTTTTTTTTTTTTTTTTTTTTTTTTTGTAATTAAATCAATCTGTTATATTCCCTCATATTGTTAAAGAAAATGATGAATATACTTGATACATATTAATTTTTTTTATGCTTTTTATATAAATTTTCACATTTTTTTTTTTTTGCAAATATTTTTAAAGACAAAATATACATATAAATGGGTATTGTCTAAACAAAAAAGATTGAGATTTCATATAAAAAGTAAAAAATAAAATATATTTTTATATTATATTTAAGAATAAAATATATATGTACATAAAAAAAAAAAAAAAAAATAGTTCAAACGATTATTTTTTGTAGATAAAAAATTTTAAGATATACCTAATTTTTCATTTTTTTTTATTGTATAAACTATTCATTTAATAAAAAATGCTAAATAGCTTGCCACCATGTTTTCTAGTTATGTCTAAAATAATATACCATTTTACAGTTTGTTCTAGAAAATAAAATATATTGAAAATTTAGAATCAAAAAATAAAAAAAATATTTACTCTTAGCAACATAAAAAAATAAATTCTACATATAAAAAAAAATATGAAATATATGCTTCGCTTTATTTTTAACAAATAATGAACATTTATACTTGAAAAATATTTAAAGGACACTTTATAAATAGCTAACAAATATAAGAAAAAATTTTATAACAAAAATTTTATATTCTAAGAAACACACATAGAAAACAAAAGAAATTGTATTTTAATTAAAAAAATAGTGATCAAATTCAATATAAAAATAAATTTCACAAACATACTATTTGATATTAAATGAAAAAAAAGTTAGAATTCTTATGTAATTTTAAAAATTTTAAGCATTTTTTTTTTTCATTTAATAATTTATAATTATTATGAACATTCAGGTATAAATTCTATGTTTGAAAAATTAAAACCTTAGTATTTGTTTTGATTTTATAAAAATATTAATGTAATAACAATTAAAAGGAATCATACTTTAGATAATTTATTTTCTTTTATTTGTAAACTATTTAATTATTTTATAAATGAAACTATTATATATATATAAAATAATAAGAACAAGAAAAATATTTATATAATTAATTTATGACGAATTTCCATTTCTTATGTTTCAACTTCAATCATAATATTATAGAACGCAGGGTTACTTATTTGTAACTATTTTTAGATTATATATAAAATTAATTTTGTTCCTAAATTAATAACTGATACAAATTACATATATTCAATTAAAAAAATAAAATAAAATAAAACAAATTAAAATAATATGCAAGTTATATATGGATTTATAATAAAAGCAAAAATAAATCTTCTTTTCATTAAAAAATATGTCTTTTTTTTCTTTTAGCTAATGTTTGTGTCATATTGTACGATTTTTTATTGCAAATAGCTGAATTTGGGAAAAAAAAAAAAATTAAGTCATAATTTTTTTCTTTTTTAATATGTTTCTCAGTATTTTTTTTTTAGTATAGGACAAAATGTGCACACCGTAAGTTATACAATGAATGTTAAAAAAAAAAAAATTTTCATTTAGCAATAAACAGAAAAATGTATAAATATTTACATTTAATAAAAAATAATGAAAAAATTCTTCTATATAAATAATTATTCGTAAAAATTTTTTTTAAATATTGTTATTATTTATATGAAATCAAGCGACAAAATAAAAAAATTAACATTAAAGCAGAACTAAATAGTTGGTAGCTACAAGGAAAATTATAACATCGCATCTAATATTTTTATATTTTTCATATGTTTATTTTTTATTATGTTTTTTTTTTTTTTCATATATGATTTTTTTAATATAGCATATTTTCATTACTTATTTTTTTTTTTTTTTTTTTTTTTTTTTTTTATTGTATGTAAAAATATTATTAATATAATATTAATATGCTTACAATTTCATGCAAAAAAGTATTAATAAATTTTTTTTTTTTTTTTTTTTTTTTTTTTTTATTGTATGTAAAAATATTATTAATATAATATTAATATGCTTACAATTTCATGCAAAAAAGTATTAATAAATTTTTTTTTTTTTTTTTTTTTTTTTTTTTTATTGTATGTAAAAATATTATTAATATAATATTAATATGCTTACAATTTCATGCAAAAAAGTATTAATAAATTTTTTTTTTTTTTTTTTTTTTTTTTTTTTATTGTATGTAAAAATATTATTAATATAATATTAATATGCTTACAATTTCATGCAAAAAAGTATTAATAAATTTTTTTTTTTTTTTTTTTTTTATTTGAAGTCAGTAGAAAAATATATAAATTTAGTTACACGCACGCACTTTGCTCATTTAGTTAATATATACATTTTATAAAAAAAAAAAAAAAAAATTTTAAATTAATAAAAAAAAATAAAAAACAAAAAAAAAATTATTTATGCTAATGAATTAAGGTAACTTCCTTTTTTTTTTTTTTTTTTTTTTTT